GTAGTGAAACATGCAAGTATGAACTAGCGAGGGAAATCCCTAAGGGTCTAGCGTTGGACTAGCCCATATCTATGAATTCCTACTAGCGTTGGACTAGTGGAAAACGGGACCATGAGCCACAACTAGCGTTGGACTAGTGTGGTGTCGTGCATTCATCCATCACATTCATCTATGACTATAGAAAGCAAGTAGACATGCCAATCACCTATAAGCACGTAGCACATAACACTTAGCATGCTCGACTAAATGCAAGAGCCTAATAAAGCAAATTAACACGTAGCAACAAAAGCAAGCAATCAATCTAATGAGTCTATTGCATTTTGCTAACTAAAACAAAAAGGGGGAGGGGAAAATGGACAAAAATGCTCGCCAGGCCCTATCTATTACAAGCCAAGAGGTGTACACATACCCCATAAAGAATAACTTAAATAAAAAGCAAAAGAAAAATGAAAAAAATGAAAGGAATTAAGGAAAGGCAAGGGAAGCAAGTAAACATGCAATTCTCACTTAGCACGTTGGATCACATAGAAGAAATGAAAATGAAGGAGATAGAGGTTACCTCCCTCGCAATTGGGCCCCAATGAATTGAAATCACTTATTTGCCCTCAAAAATACAAAGAAAAGGTCAAGGTACCAATTTATTTGGAAAAATTAAAGAGAGTAGGTAAACACAAGCTCACTTGGACACAAAGTTCTTAAACTCATGCATTAAGTGCAATCTAAACAAAGCATGGTAATTTATTGAAGCAAACAAGCAATTGAGTTGAAAGATTGAAGCTGCCAAGGACCAAATTGAGGGGATTATTCAATTGATTGGGTCATAATAGCATTAGTTAGAAGCCAAGGGGTCAAAATGAAATTATTGAAAGCTGTTTTTGCATGCAAAACATGCAAAAGCCACGAATCATCAAGTTTTCCGCAACAAAAAACATCTGGTAGCTTAGGAAGCTTTCTTCTGCAATTTTAAGCTTTCAAACGTAAACTTCATGCAAGACTTCAAGCAAAAATCTAGCAAAGGCTATCACTCAATCGCCATTTAACAGCAAGACACTATGATTAACGCAAACCAATCATAAACACTGAACCAAAATGATCAAATGAACAACCAAATGGAAAGCATATGCTGCGGCAGCAAAAGAAAAACCAGCCTTGTGAGTTTCTTAAATGAAACTTCATCACTCAATAAAAAGGCCTATAATGAAGCCACTCAAATGGATTCTGCCATTTCGACAACCAAAATCTAATGCAAGACTTCAAATTATCCCTGAAGATTCAGTCCAAGCAACGGGATACAAATGCAACAAAAGAAAGAGTGACACTTGCGACAATTTCCAGCCATGCTGTTCGGCAATGTTGTTGTTGCGTTTCATTTACTTTAACCGAACTATGTTTGTATGCAAGAATTCAAACAGACTTATACTAGTTCAACAACTAAGCTCAACCACAAAGGCTCCAACCCATTGTCATTACCATTCCCCAAACATAATCATCTGTCTCCAGGAGATATGATCAAAACAAACAAGCATGAAATGCAGCAAAGCAACAAAACAGATTCATCCAACCCCAATCGAGATTCAGCAACAGCGCAAGGAAATATAAACGTTTACTGACCCAAACTCAGAACTTCGAGAAAACATTATAAGGCCCAACCACAACAGCAAGCAAGGTGCTAAGAATAAAATGGAAAGGAGAACAGCAAGAAAACAGCAACAAGGCACTGTCGCACGTACACAGCTGGAAGAAACATCAATCAGAATTGCCCAAAGTTATACGCCATTTTCTAGATTTGCTTGTTCAAATGCACCAAAACCAGCCATAAACATCGAACGAAAGCTTCATGGATTCATCATATATCCCCCAAACTACCATCCCTGAAACCTAGGTCTAATCCCCATGCATTCCTTAACCATAAATCAAACAAGAACAAATAGAAAAATCCAAACTTTGCAGGAAATCATGACTGAAATACCTTGGTGAAGATTTTGCCGGTGGTGATGGAGTGCACGGCAGTAGAAGGAGAGTAGCAGCAGAAATGACAGCGCCACCACTTCAGCCAATGTCGACGATGAGATCCTCTGGGGTTGCGGCTGCTCTGTGTTTTCCTTTTCCTTCCGGTCGCTACTACCGAAGCTCTCTTCCCTGTCACTGCCCGAGGTTCGCTGCTCTGCTTCTTTCAGCCGCCAGTCCTCCAATTTTCCAGCCGTCCCAAGCCTCTCTCACGGTTTCTTCGACTTCAGCCTTAACACACTTTTTTCTCCAGAGTTTTCATCCGCCTTTTTTCCCTTTTCTTTTCCTTTCTCGCTTCCTGCCCTCTCTCGGTCTCAACTCTCTCAAAGCCCTCAGTTTTTCAGCTCTCAGTTTTTCCCAGTTCTATGTTTCTTGCTCTCTCTCCAGAACCCTCGTAGCTTTTTTCCTTTCTCTACAGCCGTCCACTCAAAACTTCCTTCGGCTGCGGTTCCTTTTTCTTTTTATATGGGGGAACCCCAACCCTAAACCCTCGGCCATCTCTTCTAAAATTGCAGCCAAAGGGCTGCCCGAGTCCTTCCTTGCAAGCTGCGAAAATACGCAGCATGCATGCCGCGGGTCTTTTTTTTTTATAATAATTTAACACAATATAAATAACTAATTAAGAAAAATAACTAATGAAGAAAGATTGAATAAAAATGAGCGGAACTAGGCATAAAAAGATAAAAATGAAATGCTAATTTTTCTTTCTTTTCCCTTCTTTTTTCCTTTTTTCTTCTTTTTTTCTTAAATAGCCCAAAACCCGCAATCGGGTTTCCCCCTTTTTCATTTTTCATATTTTTCCCAAGAAAACATTGAATTTAAATCAAAACAACTAAAACATAATTTTTGAATGCTTTTCTTTTTCCCGAGAAATTCAATGCTAAAGCTTAAAAATAATAAAATAAAAAACTAAAAACTAAAAACTAAAAAGTGAATAAACCTAGCACGACAAATAAAAAGTAAATGAAATTACACTGAAATTTTGGTGTCTAGAGTTAGTTAATTAATTAATTAAATAATTAGGTAGTTAATTAGTTAATTAGTCTAACATGCAAATAGTTTGTTAGTTTCGGACAGACAACAGCTTTAGTTAATTAGTTAATTAGATAATTAGTTAATTAGTTAATTAGATAAATAGAAATTAATTAATTAGTTAATTAGATAATTAGTTAATTAGTTAATAGTTAATTAGATAATTAGTTAATATTTAATTAGTTTAACTATGCAAAAATAGTTTGATTGGTTAATAACTATTAACAATTAGTTAATTAGTTAATTAGTTAATTAGTTAATAGTTAATTAGATAATTAGTTATTAATTAATTAGATTATTAGTTATTTAGTTAATTAGTTAAACTATGCAGAAATAGTTAATTTAGTGTAATTTTTATTAACAAATGTTTTGTTGGTTTGATGAAAGTACTCATCACATTCATTTGGTAAAATTAAATCATGTCAGGGGTATTTTAGTAAATTGACCCACTTTTGCCTATTAAATTGCCTCCAACTTTTGATAGGGGAGGTCAGTGCTATTTCAAAATTGATAGGAGAGGTCAATGCTATTACTATAAAAGTCAGGGGAGGTTTCTGCAATTATCCCATATTTAAAATATATCTTATGGGCACCATAGGACAGATTCTAATAAAAATATATATATTAATCATCGCGTAACCGGGTCAAACCGACCCAGTTCCAGTAGATCATTGCACGTGTCTCGTCCCACGGCGAATACCTGAAAAGGTTCCGTCAGCCAACTAAGGGCCTGTTTGGAACCTGAGTTTTTTAGGAGTTTATCTAAAACTTTACTATAGTGTACTGTAGAAGTTTTTGAAAAAGTTTGATAGAAGTTTTTGTAAGGTGAAAAATTTTTTTGTAGAAGTTTTTTGTAAGATAAAAAATTTTGTAAGGTGAATTTTTTTTTCCTTTTCTTTTTTTTCTTACTTTCTTTCTCTTTCTTTTTCTTTTTTTCCTTTTTCTTTTCTTTCCTCTCTTTCTTCTTCTTCTTCTTCTTCTTCTTCCTTTCCCCTCCCGCCACCCTCTCTCCTCCATTTCCCCTTCTCCTCTCCTCTGCATTTCCCCCGCCGCCCCCCTCCCGTTGCCACGCCACCCCCCCCACCTTCCCCCCCTTCCCCCCCCCTCTGCCCCCCCCCCCCCCCCGCCCCGCTCCTTGCCCCTTCCCCCCTGCCCGCCACCCCCTCCCCCCGCCATTTTCTCTGTCCCTTCCCCCTCCCCTCTGCACGCCACCCCCTCTGCCCCGCCACCCCTTCCCTCTCTGCCCCTTCTCTCGCTATCCCGCCACCCTCTCTCCCACTGCCCCTTCCCCCTTTGGCCCACCACCCCTTCCGCCGCCACCCCCACTGCGCCTTCCTCCTTCCCTCACCAGCTCAGAGGAAGACGTCCCATATGGATTGCGGGCGGATAGGCTCAGTGAATCAGCCCCGCCCGCCACCAGTGGAAGCAAGCTGCCCATTCCCCCTCTGCCCCGCCACCCCTTCCCCTCTGCTTAATTTCTTGGGAGAGAACCAGTTTGCTGAACTCCATGACTTATCCCCACCAACATCTGGCTATGTGAAGATATGGCATGCTCCAATTTTGCATTTGTTAACTTCTGGCCATGTGATGGAAGGGGCAACAGTGGTTATGGTAAGGCTTCTTGATCAGCAGTGGTTATTGAACAGGGTTTTTAAAAGAAGGGGAGGTTTTCAAAGAAGGAGAGAGGGAGGGAGAAAGGAAGGAAAAAAAAAAAGGAACGCCGGCGCCGGAAACGGCGGCGGAGGTGGTGGCCGGCGATGAAGGTATGGTGGATGGGGTGGGGGAGAAAGAAGAAGAAAAGATAGTAGTTTTTTGTGTATTAAATATTTTGAAGTGTGTAGATTAAAAAATTTGATAAGTTTTTTTGGATTCCTGTAGCTAAAGTTGTTAAAAAACTAGTAGCTAAAAAACTTGGCCAAAAAACTCACTTCCAAACAGGCCCTAACTTTCACACGAAAATTTCTTACCCACAAAGCAAAAACGAGAATAAATGCATCGGATTCCGCTAGAAACCCAAAAACAACCTTAAATTAAAACCAAGGAATCGCAGAAATAGTTCAAATCAAAGCTATAACTATGAAGATCAGCACTAGTACTAGTCTTCTTTGCTTTCTTTGTCTTTTCGGCGCGGTCTCTGTGATTTCTGAATCGTGTGAGGAAAAAGGGTTCATAAAGATGAAGGAGAGTGAAAGTGTTCTTGGGGGAAGCCATGGCTACCGAGGAGATCAGAATAATGGAGAAATTGAAAGCATTGGTCGTTTTGCTGTTCAAGAACACAACAAGAAAGAGGTCTTTATTCATTAATCGCTATTTCCTTTCTCTTAGTTCTTGATTTGGCTATTTGTTTACAAGCCCTTTTTTTATTTTGGAAAAAAAAATATTGATTATTGATTTTTAATTCGATTAGAAGAGGTAGGAATTCCAGAGTTCAAATTCTTTTTAAGGGTTTTTTGGGTGTGCATTTTTTCTGTTAAATTATGTGGCTCTAGGGAATGATTAGCTGGGGATTTCCCAATTTTTTTGATGAAAGAAACCCTTAGTTGATTGTTTTAGGGAAAATAAATTTATGTGAGTTTTAGATGGTTGTGTTCTGAGGTTAATATTGCAGATTTTTCTAGAATAACGGATGCATGTTGGTGAGTTTTTATATTTTTTAAAAAAAGAACAAGAAAAGAAGAAAAAAGAAGTATGAATTAATGTGGAAACAATTCCTGGACGGCGTTTGTTAATGTCCTTTCTTCAGCTACTGTTTTTGGAATTTGGATTATATTTAATTTACTGTATTTCCTTTTTCTGGACATAGAACGCGCTTCTTGAGTTTGGAAGGGTGATCAAAGCGAAAGAATAGGTGGTTGCTGGTAAGGTGTCTCATCTTACTCTGGAGGCAATTGATGTTGTAAATAAATGTATTTCAAAAGATTCTTGGCCCATGATGTAAACCAGAGGAAGATATCTTGTATAAACCAGAGGAAGGTTTATCTGCTCAATGTACTTTAGCTTGTGCACTCTAAAGCATAAAATTTTATCTGATAACTCACACAACAACGGTCCCATTGGTTCCTAAACATTTGCATCACATGGGTAAAATCCATGATTCTCTCAATAGCTAACAAACGTGACTTTTTGATAAGTTTTAACCCGTTGTATGTTACTTTTCAAGACCTATAAATAGTTGCTATTTTGTAACAGCCCCACCCTTTCCTAGTACGTACCCTAAGGGTTAGCGAACTGTCTGTCCAACTCTTGTCAGGACTGCTAAGACGCACACACGAATGCCAAACCATACCGAAAAATATCACAACAACCAATCGATTCAACGACAACAAATAATAAAGAACGAAAACGAAAATGGAAGTGAACAGTGACTGCCACGTCACAATCCGATCAAGACTCGGCCGGATTCAAGCCAGAGAGCAACCCAAATTTTTTTGCAAAACCCCTGTCAATTCGGCCATGTATCCGGCCAGATATACGGCCGGATTCTGCTGTACAGTTTCCTGCAAAAATTTTTTTCTTTTCTCGTTCAAACTCCGTATTCCTCCGAATTCCAATCAAGTACAAGTAACTTTATATAACCCTAGAGAATGAACCTTCCCAAATCAAATATAACACATGAACATGATTAAACACTTTTTATATACACACGTTTGTAAATTTACAAATCAAAAGGAATATTGGATCAAGATATATTTAGGGTTTTTCCAACTACCGAGGAGTTATATAAAAGAATATCTATACTAGCTCAACTCATTCTTCAAAATATCATAGTTCTAAGAGATTGTTCCCTGTAAGGAAAACAAAGGCAACGGGGTGAGCTTTCGCCCAATGAAGTACCATCACTCAAGTATTCAAGGATCACAAAAGTACAATGATACTCAATTCAAATACATTCATCAAGTAAGTAGAAACGAACACCATACATCAACAGGGAGTAAAAGGATACGGACGACTCTCAAGAGCCCTTTTCCTCTCTTGCCGTACTTGATCCCACCTCATTGACTCTCCGTCAACGCTTGAAGAGTGACCATGACCGTAGACTCCACTTTACTCCAATTTTCGTCCATCATTCATACCCCTTATCGGGTCCAAACACCAAACAGAACAGAGATGGTAATACTCGAGTATACCGGAATCAACAGTCTCAATACCCAAAGATTCCCCAGAAACAGTCCCCATGGCTTGTCAATTTTCCTCGCCCAATCCCTTGCCGGCTCGATTCAAATGACTACCAATGAGGTTGAGCTCAGATGTAACAGTAAAGGTCGTTGGATACACGTCCAAACGACACCAGTTCAAGCACAATCAAGAGAATTTTCAAGTGATACAGTAAACAGTCAAATAAACAATAGAGAACAAGAGTGATAAAGTACACGCTCGTCTCATCTAGCATAAGCAGCAATCACAGGCATTCCCGTCACAGATTTCAAGTACAAATAGAGCAAAGAAACAACAATCATGTGAGTGATACACTCACCAGTCAAGCGAAGCAATTTCAAGCGTTTCCTTCCGAAATACGCCTTAACTCACCAGCACGGCCTAGCCACAATCAAAATAGAACAATTATAGTTTCCGCAACCAAAAGCTAGTGAACCACTAGGGCAAAAGTACAAAATATGATTTCGGGTGAAATGAAACTACGCGACCCTAAGGACACTAGCAACCCAAAACCTTTCATTTCTACCCCACAATCAACCCAAACATAAAGAAACCATACGGCTTTACAATTGGACAGCATTTCCCCTATATTTCTTACTTTTCCTTTCCTACTATCAACCACCAACTTCATCTCGAATCAGCCACAATTACACATACAATTTACAAGCCATTAAATATACTCAATTAAGGCCATAACACCCCTCATATAAAGCCAATTAGTAACTCCAAAATCAACCATATTCAAGGCAAAATTCAAAACCCTAAACCTGAAATTTAAGTATATAAGCTGAAATTCCTTTAGGCAAGTTAAACCACCACATACAACCTCAATATTTCACATAGCAAACCATCATAACTTGGCCAAGCCTCAAACATCACATAAGGGCAGAAAATTACACCATACAAACTGAAAATTCCATATCATCACCTCCAACTACCATACTTCTCATAAAATCACAAGTATTATAACCCTAATCCACAAATATCCTAGTATTAGATGTAAGGAGGGATTTCTTAGCACATTTACCTTGTGACTTCAAGAAAGGTGGTAGCTTAGGACTTTCTTTGCAAAACCACTCCATCAACAACCCTAATCCTTCCTAGCAAGGAGTTTTTATGGAGAAATTTGAGATTTTAATGGTTGAAACTCAAGATTATGGCAAGAAATGGAAGAACAAGATGCAACTCTCTCTCTTTCTTCTCCTCAAGAAGCTCGGCCAAGACAAGAGAAAATGAAGAGGATTTTGGGTCAAAATTAGAGTTTAGGAAAGTAAGAAAGCTTGGGTCAAAATTCCAACTTCCAATAGTGTTTCTCCACTTGGCACTTTTAATGTTTACTCTCATCCTCTTGTCTCCCAATTCTAACTAATCCAGCTAACCTCCAATTTCTTAACACCTGGTAAAATAATATTTCTAAATATAAAACTTTACCTTATCGTCAAAATTTATCACACTTAAAGCACGAGCGGGTCCCACATCCAATATACACTACTATTGTCTCATGAACTACCTTACACTAGAAAAATGATTTAAAATCTATATTCACTTATAAAAATATCTAAAAAATTAATGTAATAAAGAAAAATTTATAAAATGTGTGCAAGGAAATAAAATAATGACTGAAAAATAAGAAATTTTTTTTGGGTTCTCACATATTTCCCCTTGAAAATTTATACCAATTCTTCTCCCCTTGACAGTTGATACCTTTCTGTCAGCTTTCTTCCCAATTCTCCCCCTGACAGTAGATATCTTCCTATCAGTTTTCCCTTCTACTTCTTTTTCTTCTTACTCTGCTGGATTTGCATTTCATTTGCTAGTTCTGATCCTTCCCGTTCATAATAGGAAGAAGGCTTGTTTAATTCTAGGGAAACATTTCGACCTTCTAAAATAGTTTCTTAGAACAGTGCTATAAAATACTACTCAAGCTACATTATATTAATTTCAATTAATATTGTTTTTGGCTATTTTTTCCTACAATCTAAGAAAATATGGCCTCCGACAATGTTAACACCTCACAACCTGCATCAGCATCAGTTGCAGTCGCACTGCCCTTGGCTAAACCTGTTCCAGACGTATCCAAAATTGAAGTTTTTGCCAATGAAAACTTCAAAAGGTGGCAAGAACGTGTGCACTCTCTACTCGACATTCATGAAGTAGCCTATGCACTGATAGAATCACAACCACCTGCAACTACGGATGTCAAGACGTAAGAATCCTGACAATATGCCAATAAGGTATGTTGGCATACTATTTTACAAATCCTTTCAAATGAACTGTTTGATGTGTACTGTAGCTGCAAGGAAGTTAGGAAAATTTGGGAAGACTTGATAACAAAATTTACCGCCGAAAACGCCACCAAACAAAAATTCATTGTAGTAAAGTACAACCAATAGTAAATGACAGAAGACAAAGAAATGAAGGTACAAATCACGGAGTACCAAATGCTACCTGAGGATCTCAAAAATGAAGACATAAATTTTTCTGAAAAATTTGCTGTTGGCATGTTAATTGAAAAGCTGCCCGAATTGTGGACTGACTACAAAAATAATCTAAAGCACAAGCAGAAAAATTACACCATTGATGAGCTCGTGAAACACATCCTGATTGAAGATTTCAATAGAAAGGAGTTAAGGACTGTCAAAACTAAGGAGATGACTTTCAAAACTAACTTGGTTCAAAACAACAATAAAAGGTACGCCAATAAATCCCAAAATTACAAGCCCAAAAATCCCAACTCTAAAAAAAAAGAAAGGCATTTGCTATGTTTGTGGAAAATCAGGACACAATGCTGCCGAATGCAGGCATAGAAAGAAAGGTGACAAAGCAAATGGTAATCCTCCTAAGGTTGATTTAGCCGAATGAGATGATATAATTGTTGCAGTCATCTCTCAAGTTAACATTGTAGTAAATGTGAAAGAATGGATAGTAGACTTTGGGGCTACTCGGCACATGTGTGCAAATCGAGAAGCATTTTCCTCCTATACTCTAATAGGGGATGATGAAGAAGTGATCTACCTTGAAAACTCACGAACTACTAAAGTTTTGGGTAAGGGTAAAGTTCTCCTGAAACTTACATCTGGAAAAACTTTGGCTCTCAATGATGTGCTCCATGTGCCGAATATTCGAGCAAATCTGGTTTCTGTAGGATTGTTAGGAAAAGTTGGGGTGAAAGTGTCCTTTGAATCTAACAAGATTGTAATGATAAAAAATAATGTATTTGTTAGTAAAGGCTACTGTAATCAGGACTCTTTGTACTTAATATTTCAAATGTGATTAATGAAAATGCATCTTCTTCTACTTATATTGTTGATTCAATTTCTTTATGGCATGTTAGATTAGGACATGTTAATATTAACTACATAAAGAAAATGCAATCACTTGGGTTACTATTTAGTGTTAATAATAATGACATGAAAAAAAGTGAAGTATGTGCAGAACTAAAATAACCAAGAAAAGTTGTATAACTATTCAAAGAGAAACTGAATTATTAAATCTAATTTACATAGATTTAGGTGATTTAAAACAAATTATGACTAGATGAGGAAAAAGATAATATGTTACTTTTATAGATGATTATTTTAGATACACTAAACTTTATTTACTTAGAAATAAAGATGATACTCATAATGCCTTTTTATCTTATAAGTCTAAGGTAGAAAATCAACTCAATAAAAAGATAAAAAGAATTAGATCAGATAGAAAAGGTGAAC